TGTCAGAACCTAGTGATCTAGTGTCGGTCCCTCTCAAAGAAGGACCGGTCCCACTTTTTGAAAAGCAAACATCTGAGACCACTACTCTTGTTCCCCCTAGATCAAACTTCCCTTTACTTTTTCCGAAGGAGACTTTGAAGAAGTCAGAAGGGACTGAGGTTGTAGAGACACCTAAGCTTGATAATAAGATTCCACGAGAACCATTCAAGAGCACCACCAAGACTCATGGCATTCAAGACCCATCTTGCTCAACACCTCCAAGCAAAAATGTGATAAAACCAATCCCTCCTTATGTTCCTTAACCCCAAAGGTTGAGGAATCAGAAAGAGGAATTCCATTTTAAAAAGTTCTTGGATGTGTTTAAAGAATTGCACATCAGCATACCCCTTGTTGAAGCAATTGAGCAATTGCCTAGCTATGCTAAGTTTATGAAGGATATCTTAAGTAAGAAGAAGAAGTTGACTGAGTATGAGACAATAGCCCTTAGTGCGCTTTTGACCAATAGCATACCCCCTAAGCTAAAAGATCCAGGGAGTTTTACCATTCCTTGTTCAATAGGAGGGAAGGAGATAGGGAAATCCCTATGTGACTTAAGAGCTAGTATTAACCTCATGCCTTTATCTGTCTTTAACACCTTAGGCATAGGAGAGACTAGACCCACCACCGTCACACTCTAATTGGCCAACAAGTCCATAGCATATCCTAAGAGGAAAATTGAAGATGTTTTGGTGCAGGTTGACAAGTTCATATTTCTAGCAGACTTTATCATTATAGATTTTGAGGCCGATAAGGACATTCCGATTATTTTAGGAAGATCTTTCTTAGCTACCGGAAGAACCCTGATTGATGTCCAGAAAGGTGAGTTAACCATGAGACTCCAGGACCAGAAAGTCACCTTTAATGTCTTCAACTCTCTAAAGTACCCTGATTACTTGGAAGAGTATTCAAGAATAACTGAGATAGAGGAAATGTGTTTGGAAGAAGGAATTCAGAGAAACCTTAAGTTGGAAGGAGAGTATGATGAGGATTTAGAAGAGGAAAGTATTGAGGAGATAGAGGAGACAGGAACTGATGTTGTCCCAGTAGAAGTAGCAGCATTTGAGCTGCTTGAAAATAATGAGCAAAAAGACTTCACCCGTCCGTAGAATCACCACCTGAGTTGGAGTTGAAGCAACTCCCATCCCACTTGAAATATGCTTTTCTAGGAGAAGAAGGCAAATTGCTTGTCATAATCTCATCTACCCTATAATGGCATCAAGAAAAGAAACTTGTGGATATGCTAAAATTGCATAAAAAGGCTTTAGGATGGACCATTGTTGACCTCAAAGGGATTAGTCCCTCTATTTGTCAACACAAGATCATCTTAGAGGATAAAAACTTCATGTCCATAGAACCTCAGAGAAGGCTGAACCCTGTCATGAAAGAGGTAGTTAAGAAAGAGATTTTGAAATGGTTAGATGCTGGAGTTATCTATCCGATAGCCAGTAGTTCTTGGGTTAGTCCGGTCCAGTGTGTTCCCAAGAAGGGAGGGTTTACAGTTGTCACAAATGACAAAAATGAACTTATCCCCACCAGAGTTGTTTCAGGTTGGAGAATATGCATGGACTATAGRAGACTAAACAAGGCTACCCAAAAGGACCATTTTCCACTACCTTTCATTGACCAAATGTTAGACAGATTAGCCGGAAAGGAGTACTATTGTTTCTTAGACGGATATTCAGGGTACAATCAAATAGCCATTTCTCCCGAGGACCAGGAAAAGACTACCTTTACATGTCCTTATGGCACCTTTGCTTTTAGAAGAATGCCATTTGGACTATGTAATGCTCCTGCCACCTTTCAAAGATGTATGATGTCCATATTTTCTGATATGCTTGAAAAATCCATTGAAATATTTATGGATGACTTTTCTGTATATGGCTCATCATTTGACAATTGTTTAAATAATTTAAAAAAAAACTTAGAAAGGTTTGAGGAGACAGACTTGGCTCTTAATTGGGAGAAATGTCACTTCATGGTCAAAGAAGGTATTGTTCTTGGGCACTTGATTTCAAAAAGAGGGGTTGAGGTAGAYAARGCAAARCTTGAGGTAATTGAAAAACTACCCGAACCTACCACAGTTAAGGGAATCAGGAGCTTTTTGGGTCATGCCGGATTTTATAGAAGGTTTATCAAAGATTTTTCAAAAATTTCAAAACCTCTTTGTTTACTCCTCCAGCATGACCAAAAATTCAACTTTAATGATGAATGCAGAAATGCATTCAAAACTTTGAAAAAAGCTTTGGTTATCGCACCAGTGGTAGTTGCCCCTGACTGGAACAAACCTTTTGAGATCATGTGTGACGCTAGTGATTGGGCGGTAGGTGCTGTGTTAGGGCAAAGAAAGGAGAAGGTGTTTCATTCAATCTACTATGCAAGTAAGATTTTGAATGAGGCACAAATCAATTACACCACAACTGAGAAAGAATTATTGGCTATAGTTTTTGCTTTTGAGAGATTTAGGTCCTATTTGATGGGAACAAAGGTAATTGTGCAACTGATCACGCAACCATCAAGTACCTGATCTCAAAGAAAGATGCAAAACCAAGGTTGATAAGATGGGTGCTTTTGTTGCAAGAATTTAACTTAGAGATACTTGATCGGAAGGGAATAGAGAATCAAGTGGCAGACCATTTGTCTAGGTTGGAAGAACCTGAGAGAGAGGGATTGGACATTAATGATACTTTTCCAGATGAGAGAATTCTCATGATAAACCAACCTAAGACACCATGGTTTGCTGATTTAGCTAATTTCTTGGCATGTGGAATAAAACCCTCTGATTACACAAGTCACATGTTAAAGAAATTTTTTCATGATGCGAAATCTTATTGTGGGATGACCCATTTCTGTTTAGACTTGGTGTAGATCAGATTCTGAGAAGATGTGTACCTGAATCTGAGGTGGCAGCAATCCTGCATCATTGCCATCATGCACCATACGGAGGACATTTTGGAGGTCAAAGGACTGCAACCAAGGTCCTATAGTCAGGTTTCTATTGGCCCACACTTTTTAAAGATTCCCACAATTTTGCACAGAGGTGCAATGAATGTCAAAGAAGTGGCTCCATTTCCAGGAGAAATGAAATGCCGTTAAATGAGATACTAGAAGTTGAATTATTTGACGTTTGGGAAATAGACTTTATGGGTCCTTTCCCCCCATCAAATAATTGCCAGTACATTCTTGTGGCTGTTGACTATGTATCCAAGTGGGTAAAAGCCATGGCATGTGTGTCAAATGACGCAAAAACTATGGTTAAGTTTCTTCAAAAACAAATTTTCACACGGTTCGGTACCCCAAGGGCACTAATCAGTGACGAGGGTACCCACTTTGTAAACAATTTGTTAAGGGGAGTTTTTGAAAAATATAATATTAACCACAGAATTGCCACGGCTTATCATCTACAAACAAATGGTTTAGTTGAACTCTCTAACAGGGAAATAAAAGGCATTTTGGAAAAAAATTGTAAAACCCAATAGAAAGGATTGGGCATTTAAATTAGATGACGCTTTATGGGCATACATAACTGCTTTTAAAACACCAATAGGTATGTCCCCATACAAGCTAGTGTATGGAAAAGCCTGCCATCTGCCTTTAGAGCTTGAGCACAAAGCATACTGGGCTATCAAAGAGCTCAATATGTCTTTGAAAGATGCTGGAAAGAAAAGGATGTTACAACTCTGTGAGCTGGATGAACATAGATTGTTGTCTTATGAGAATGCCAAACTTTATAAGGAAAAGACAAAGAAATGGCATGATAATAGAATCCAACACAGAGAATTGAGAGAAGGCCAGCTTGTGCTGTTATTTAATTCTAGACTGAAGTTATTCCCTGGAAAACTTAAGTCTAGATGGTCTGGGCCTTTTCTTATTTCTAAAGTTTATCCTTATGGAGCAGTGGATTTGGTAAACCCGGAAGATAATTCTATTTTCAAGGTTAATGGCCAAAGGGTAAAGGTATACCATGATCCGGCAACGGTCTCAGAACATCACTCTGAGAGCTGTGCTACTCCCTGTTGAAATCTCAAAGATCCCCCTTGGACTTCTTAAAAGTCCACCTTTGTTTGTAAATAAATTTCAGTTTCATAGGTTGTTTGTGTTTTAAAGTTTTCATGGTTTGGTGTGTTTTTATAAAAGTTTGGTAAACAGCTCATAATGCTGCAGCATTCTAGGCCTGCAGCTTTGTGTGAAGTGAAAAAAAAAATGGGTTGAGCCTTTATTGTTAAAACTTTTCTTGAAAAAGATTGTTTTTAGGAGGTTGGAGAAAAATGGCGCTGATTTTTGAAAAAGAAAGAAAGGAGGAAGGATTAGTTAAGGTTAAGCCATTTTTCAAAATCTTAGGAAAGTACATGGTAGTACATGAAGGTACATGGTACTTTGCACAACCCTTACACTCTCTTACACCCTCATCACTCACTTTTCAATCAAAAAGAAAAGAAAAATGGTCAAGATGAAAGGTTGGGTTTGAGGGGTTTTGTCTCAATTAATGAAGAGGTTTGGGCATTAATGACCTTGTATTTTTTTATGCTAAACCACCACTTGGTAACCACTTAGACCCACTACGTGCTCCTAAGAAATCATTATACTGTCACCTTTGCCTAACCCAACCTTTCAAATCCCCTCCCCCATCGTCTCTCCATCACTCCATACTCTCACCACCATCACCGGCCTAAGCTCCACCACCACCGTACCTGCTGTCACTCACAAACCCTCACCCCTTTTCTGCATTTCTTCATCTCCATACACCATCGCTTGTTGTCTTCCACCATGGTTAGGCTAAAGAGAGCTGCTGCCCGACCTCAACCAAGGGGCCCTGTTCGTAGAAGCAACCGTATGAGGGCTACTGTTCTGCCCTCAAATGCTAAACCAGAGATGGTAGAGCTAAGCGAAAATAGTGATTCTATGTCCATGAGTGAAGAAGAGGCTATTCCTACACTTCCACAACAGGCTGTCCCTTCGTCTTCCACAATGGCCAAATCCCCTGTGCACGAATCAAGTAGTAGAAGAGTCCAAATCAATGATCTCAACGAACCTCCTGTGGATGAATCTGAGCACGACATTGAGGTAATATTCAACCCTACTGTACTTATAGAAGATTATGTTTCATCCGAGTCTGAGGATGATGCCACTATGGTAGAAAACTTGGGAAGGGTATACTTGCTTCCTTGGAATGATCAAACCACCCATGCCCCTGTTGATGAGTTTGTTGAGGTCACACCTCAAAGTAAGGACTTTGAGGTCATTGATGACTTCTTGGCCAAAATGGGGATTGATCAGTCCAAACCAAGCACTGTGGAACAGAACACTGTGGAACCAAGCACTGTGGAACAGGCATCAATGGATGTACTGTTAAAGGCTATTGATACACTAGCCTCTCCTAGTCCCACTCATGTGAAGCCTCCCTCTAAGAAGAGGAAGGTTTTGGGAAAAAAGTCAGCCAAGAAGACCTCTCAAACCTCAGGCCCTGCACTAAAAAAGAAGAAGCTTAGTGCTTATGGAAATGGCAAAGCAGTAGCTGTAGAGAACTCTCCTAGAAGAATCACAAGGCAGTCACAGAGTGTTGCAGCATCCACAGAACAGCCTACCCCTGCTTCATCCACCCCTGCAATCACAAAGAGATCCATGCTACCTTTGGAAGGCTTCAGTTCTGTCAAGGCCAAAGCTCTGTTTGATAAGTTCAAGGACAAGACTGCCTGGCCCAACAAAGGCTTTGATCACAAGAGTGTGGAAGAGTGCCAGTTCATCAAAGAGGTGATTAGTAGTCTAGGATGGCAAAGCTTCTGTAAGGTACATAGTTCTTACAACCTTTCACTTATTAGAGAATTCTATGCTGAGGTTGCTGCTACCAATTCATGTATGATCAAGGTTAGAGGTGTATGCTTATCCTTTGATGATGAGACATTGAACAATGTCTTAGGTCTCACCACTCACTTCAATTCAGACTTTGAGACCCTTAAGCACACTGCCTCTGAAATTAAGCTCAATAAAATCTGTGAGGCAGTGGCAAGGCCAGGCACAACATGGAAGCCCCATGCAAACTTTTCTTTAAGGGTCTTCAAAGCTACCAATTTGACCCCAATGCTAATGTTTGGGTCAATTTTGTCAAGCA